ATTAGAAGCAACCTAAAAAGAGGTTAAAAAAAGGTATGAGAATAAATAATCAAAAATGAACTTCACAATGTACACATATATCAAAACATCATGCTGTATACCTTAAATACTACAACTTTTATTTGTCAATTATACCTCAGTAAAGCTGGAAAAAAGTTTTTAAAATGGGGTATAGATGAAGAGATTGGTTTTGAATAGGGAAAGCATATCTCTTCCACTGAAATCATATAGTCAAAGGAAAGAATGAGGAAACATGTGGGTATATTTATAGATTTGGTTACTGAAAATTAAGAAACTCTACATGTGATAGCATCAACTGTGTAATAAACATATTGAAGTTTAAATATTAAAAATAATCCATTCATTGAGAATTATTTTTCTGAATTAGGAGTTTAAAATACACATAAGCATCTAAATTAAATGAAGTAACTGCCCCACTCCTAAACCGTAGACTTACAAAGAAAATCAAGGAGATTTGTATCAAATGCCTACTTTGTACAAAACACAATGCTAGACATTGTGGAGAATACAAAGAGGACTCTTCCCCTGATACTTACAGCTTGTTTCCTCCCTTCCTTTTGGTCTCTGTTCTCACATTCTGCTTTTTTTCTCTCCATTACACTTACCACTACCTGACATATTATATTTCTGTATTTATATATTTGTTTGTTTCTCTTCCTAGACTAGAAGCTCCTCAAGGACGGGGACTTTTTCTGTCTTATTCATTGTTGTATCCGCAGTAACAAAAATAGTGCCTGCCATGACAGGAATGCAAAATAAATTTTTAATTGAATGAAACAGTACCTTCTCTTCAGGAAGAAAAGGTGCAATCTGTTAAATCGAGGAGAAATAAATATTGGAGGACTACATCAATTTTACAAATGAAAGAAGTAAATACTAAGGGTGATGTGAAAAACAAAATCAAAAAATGGTATAAGATTCACAAGACTATTAATCACCCCAGACAAGGTGATAAAGAAAGGTATTACGGAAAAGATGGCATTTGGACTCGGCTTTACAAGGGCAAGCAGATTGGTTTTTTTTTTTTAATTTGTGCAGTGCTACGGTTTTTAGTCTATTCACAGAGTTGTACAACCATCCCCTTCTAGAATATTTTCCTCATCTCAAAAGAAACCCCGTGCCCCTTAGCTACCACCTCCCAACTCCTCTAATCTCCTCAGCTCTTAGAAACCATTAATCTACCTATGTCTCTACATATTTGCCCACTTGGGACATTTCATATAAATACAATCAAATAATATGTGGGGTTTTGTGACTGGCTTCTTCATTTACCATAATGTTTTCAAGGTTCATCCATGTTGTAGCATGTACCAGTACTTCATTCCTTTCTATGATTGAATAATATCCCATTGTACGGATATACCATGTTTTGTTTAGACATTAATCAGTGGATGAACATTTGGGTTGTTTTCACCTTTTGGCTATTATGAATAATAATAATTCTATGAACACTCACATATAAGTTTTTGCATGATATTATTTTAATAAGAAATAAGTGAAGGAAAGAATTGAAATATTTTAAATCATTCACTCCCAAAGATGACAAATTCAAGATAAAGTTTTAACTGGTCTGAGATCAAATAAGGCAAAATGAGTTTTCATTAAGCTTAATTTATTCAAGTCAAAGGACTGTCCTTTATTATGCATCAATGTCCTTGAAACTTTTTTTCCCAAAACATTAAAGCATCTTTTTAAAATGAAATGATGGCAATATCAAAAGGTGGTTTTGTTAATTTACTTACGAAAAATAAATTTTTAAAAATTTGCTTTTCTATTAAATCCCAAAATCTAGGAAATGTTGTTGATTGAAGGAAGTGGCGTGAAGGAAAGAAGATAGAAACCCCACAAGATAGCCTGAATGCTAAACTAAAGAATTTGCACATTATCCTATGGTCAATAAGGAAATTAATAAAGTTGTTTAAATGTAAAATTATTGACTCCTGGATGTCCTTTTCATTCAACAAACAGTAAGTGAGCTACCACTACATGAAAAGCACTGACTCTGGTGCTAGGAGAACAGACTAAAACTCTGATCCTGCCTTTTTATAACTTAGTCTTCAGTGGAAGAAAACAGTCTGTCTCTACTCATTATTTACATCTTTATCCATCTTTTAAAAAGAGCAATATTTAGTAGTTTAAAAAAATCCTTTAAAAAAAAGAAAATATGAGACTATTCCTATTGTGCTTACCAGTTTTATTTCACTCATCATTTGACAATGTGAGTTGCTAGGTGTACAAAGTGAAGCAACATATAACCCCTATCCTAAAGAAGCTTACAGTCTAGACTTTATCAACTGCTCGAGAAGAAACCGACTGCAGACACTGAATTAGATATTATTTACCTAGGACTTCCAATTTAATAGAAAATAGCAAACAAGCACTACTACTCCTCACATTTTAAGCATGTTATGTTTGTTAACTAATTTAATCCCCCTAATAATCTTATGAAAAGGGAATTATTATTATATTATTGTAAGATATTGATACATTAAAATATATTACATTTATCATCTTCTTCCAGAAACGTTAATGACACTAGTTCTGCTAATGAAAGTGTTTTATATATAGTTGCTGTATCATTCCCATCAGCATACAAACATACGGTAATTTCTCCCATCTTAAAAAAAAATCCTGTCTTGACTTCACATCCCACTCCAGGAACCCCACCATTTCTCTGATCCCCTTACAGCAAAACTCCCTAAAAGAGCTGTCTGTAGGAGCTGTCTCCCAGCTCCTCTCCTCTCAGACTCTCTTGAGCCATGCCAAAAAGACTTTTGCTTCTGACACTACTGAAACCACTCTAGTCAAGATTACAAATGACCTCAAAATGCTAAGTATAATTTTTAACTTTCAGGCCTCATCTCACTTCACCCATTTGTAGCACTTGATGTAGGTAATACACTCTCTTTGAAATACTTTCTTTACTTGGCTTCTGAGACACCATACTCTTCTGGGTTTCCTTCTTACTTTAGTCGATGTTTCCTCTCAATCTCCTCTGCTGGTTCTTCCACAGCGCCACAATTCCTACACACCAGAGTATTCAAGGCTCAGTCCCTGGACCTTCTCTCCTTTCTGTCTACACTCACGTTCTTAATATTCTCACACAGTCTCATGGCTCTGCTAGAATGCAGCTTCAATAGGGTAGGAATTTTTCAGCAATTTTGTTTATGCTGAATGCCCCACACCTAAAACAGTGCCTGGCATGTAGCAGATGTGAGACAAACACTTGTTCAAGGAGTGGATGGATGAATAAATGGCTTTAAATATTATCTATAAACTGATGACTCTCCAATTTATACCTCCTGCCTGGATCTCTGTCCTCAACTCCAGATATAGTCATCTGCTATCTCCACCAGGATGTGTAACTAACATGTCAAACTCAACCAAGTTCAAAAGCGAGTTCCAATCACCCTCCCAATGGCTTCTCTGACTGACTTCACTTCCTTAACAAAGAGCAGCTCTATTCTTCTACTTCTTGAAGCCAAAAATTTTTGAAGTCGTTCCTACTGCCTTCTCTCACACCACATATCCAATCTTCCAACAAACACTGTGGATTCCGCCTTGAAAATATACTCAGTATTTGACCACTTCTCACCAAGTCCACCACGATCACTATGGTCCAAGCCATTACCGTCTCTCATCGGGATGAATGCGACAGCCTCCTAACTAGTCTTCCAGCTTCTCGTCAGCCTCCAGCCGTCAATTCAGTCTGTTCTCAGAACCACAGCCAGAGAAATCTTCATCAAACTCTAGTCAGATCACGTCATTTCTCTGCTCAAATCCTACAGTTATTCCCACTTTGAGTAAAAGCCCAAATCTTGACAACTGCTTATGAAGTTCTACTCGTTCTGGCCCCATTTAGTCTCTGACCTCATCTACTACTTCTCCTCTCACTTATTCTGCTCCAGTCACACTGGCTTCTTCTGCTGTTTCTTCCAAAGGTTAAGCACATTTCCTCCTCAGGACCTTTTCCCTAACTGTTCTCTCTGCCTAGAATGCTTTTCCCCTGGATACCTGCAACCCATTACCTGCTTCATCACCTTGTTCAAGGCCACCTTCTCTGAGTTGTTTTCTGATCACCATATTCAAAATTGCAACTTTAATCCCACCCCCTCGTATTCTCTGCTCTATATTGCTCCACAGCATTTATCACTACCAAATACTATATATTTTACTTTCTGGGACATGTGTTCAAAAAGGACAAGAATTTTTGTCTTCATTCACTGCTATAAAGTAGCATTTAAAGCAGTGCCTGGTATACAGTAGTATATACTGTACCAGATCAATAATCTATCTGTTGAATGACTGCTTTCATTTCCCCAGAGGGCCTAACAATCATCTCGCCTGCTACTTCAGGAAAAGATCATCAAGCTTCTCTAAGATTTCTTCCAGGGCTCTGATCCCTAGAAGGATTAGACTTTGCCTAGAAAGAAAAACTGTGCTTTGTCTAAACAACCACAAGGAGGAGTTGAGAGAAAGAGAAATTAGATAATGCTGTTTCCCTTGCTTTTCCTACGGCAACCTCAAGGTGGAAGAAATCTGGATTTGGAGGCGACTGTACTGAATGAATGATTTTCCCCCTACGATGAGTTACCTAGACACACACAAACGTAAACATTAAAAACCGCAATCCTTTCGAATGCCACAAAGAGGCCAAGGAAATCATTCCACCGGCCACTGAGCACTGAGAGGGAGCTTCTTTCACTCCACCACTAAGAATTTTCCATAAATCCAGGGGAAGAGTTCCCATTAGCGCAGAGACACGTAACTCACACACGAAGGCCAAGGTGTTCCAGGTTGCCAGCACTCTCGGGCCAGAGAACTAGTAAGTCTATTCTATTTAATACTTCAAGCACGCACATTCTTACAAAAGCATAAGCAAGGAGGTCCCAGGTCTAAAGTCTCCGATTTGGCCGATCGCATGTACAGTCCTGATTCACTAAACACCAAAATCTATTTCCCACGAGCTTTTGACTCACCGCCACCTGTTGATGCCCACGTTGGAGGAGCCCGCGAACCAGGGGTCGAGGATGTAGACGCAGCGGATGGTGTCGGCGCCCTGAATGCACTCCTTCAGGGCGGGGTTGTCGTGGAGCCGGAGCCCCTTTCGGAACCAGTGCACGGCGTTCACCCCCATCCCGGGGGCGCGGCGGGCGCGGGGCCCCGCCGAGTTCCTCCAGCAGAGATTCAAGGGAGGAAGCTCCGGCTCATAACCGACACCTCCGCTTCCAGGAGAATCGCCGCAGCCGGGGAGCGAGGGAAGGGCGGCAGAGCCGGGCAAGGAAAAAATGAGTCCGACGAGGGGACCCGAGAGGGAGAGGGCGCTGGAGGCGCAGCTGGGAGATGAATGGAGGCTGCCCAGTCGGTGGAGTCGGGGTGTGACGCCCTTTAGGAGCCGGCGCCCGCCGCAGCAGCCCGGACCCGACGCATAACTTCGAGGGCCTCGGACCCCCGGGGGCTGAGCAAGTTCCAGGGACCCGAGCCGCCACGACGGCCTGAGCCGGCACCGGCAGCCCCTGGAGGTTCGTCACGGAAGCCTCGCCCCACCGAGGCGGCCCTGGAGGAGAGAACGGCCCGCCCGAGGCGAGCCACCGAGAGGGACGAGAGAGGGTCGAGCAGCTGTGGCCCCGCTGCCTCTCGGCCCCGCAAAGAGGAGGGAGCACGGAGCGCGAAGGCGGGGGTCGAGGCCACTGGACGGTTGCCGGCCGGTGACCGGTCCCGAGGCTGCCCGGGTGACTCCGCCGCCACCGCCGCGTCAGCGGTCCCGGCCCCGCCCCCGGCTCCTCATTGGAGGGCGCGCTCCCATGTGACCCCCGGCACCTCACGTTTCTGAAATGTGTTTACTACAGTGGCTCTGACTGGGGACTCTGCTCGCGATTCACTCGCTTTCCGGGGGCGGCCGCCGCTTGACCTCAGAAACGTCGACCCTCGCCCGAACGCTGGGCTCTCAGCCTCTGCCCCTCCACTCGGCCGACTGGTCGCGGTCGTTTGGAAGCCCCCGCGGTGACCACAGGCCCCATGCGAGGGAAGGCTTAGCTCCGCCCCTGGGGGCCGCGAGCGCCCACCATTGGCTGAGGGCCGCTGAGACCCGGATGAGCACGGGGATGCGGGGAGCTCGCGGGCACGCGCTTGGCTCGGGAGGGCGCGCGTGCGCTCTCGCCGAGTTCCAGAGGGAAGGAGGGCGGGGCCGGCGGGCGGGAGTGCGCTCCGGGATTTCTCCCGCGGGGTTCCGGGAAGGCCTGGGGACCACCTGGAGCGCTCCAGGAGTCGGCGGGGGAGCTGGGCAGGGTCGTGGACCGAGTGGAAGGAGGAGAGTAGGAAGCTCCCTTAGACTTTGAGCCCAACAATGTGCTTCAATCCAGCTTTAGGCAGAGAACCCTACTTTTTGAGTATGTGAAGCTGGCGCCCCTACCATTCTTCTGGCCCTCGCGGCGTGACACCTTTGGACGTGCTCTGGCGAAGAGGAGTAATTGGCAGGGTGGGTGCCAGGCATCCCTGGAATTCCTTAATACTGTGTATCATCAACATGTCAGCCCTAATTTCTTACGCTTAGTACGGTTTACAGGGCTCGTGGTGATGGGGCCTTTGCCTACGTTTCTAGCGACAGTGAACTTAAGGCCTCGCCATTCCCTAGACATGTGATGCGCTTATATTCATCCAACAGTTACTTAATGAACCAGGCACTGTTCAAAGTGTTGGAGATACAAGAGAGAAACGGACAAAAATCCCAGCCCTTCTAGAGTTTACAATCTCTCTCATAACCTTTCCACATGCTGTATTTTCCTGCATAAAATGCTCTTTAGAATCTGCTGCTCACTACAATCACGTTTGAGCCACCTGGTATATTTCTACACAGCCCTTTAGACTCAGATGAAGTGCTACCTTATTTGTGGAAATATTGCTGTCCTCCAAAGCAGATTTAGGACCTCCCCATATCCCCGGACTTGTCTCTGATACATCACTTACCACACTATTGTGAAGATTAAATGAAAAATACCTACTTTAATACCTAGCACAAAACAGATGCTCAATAATAGTATTTACCAACATAATAATGTATCTCTGATTCCCTCTAAAGTGTGAGTGCTCAAGGACAGGGTCTTTGTCGAGTTTGGTTTTGGCATCATCAATATCTATTGTGGAATGAATAAGAGAAACCTTAGCTAAATTAAAGTCGGAAGGCCTGTAGGGGGAGCTCTCAGGCTCTATCATACATGGTCAATTACTCCAAACAGGAAGAGAGAGCTTGCGTCTCTGCCGCGAAGAACAACTATTTTAGTACTGGAGGAAGATTTCTCTCCCTACGTGGCAACAGCCCAGCTGATGAGAAAAGCAACAGCTCAGCCAGTGAGAAGCAGTTGCCACCCTGAACTGTCACTTTCTCCCAATGGTCTTTGTTGAGAACAGCCCCTGACAACTCCCCATTTTTCTCTATAAAAGCAAGCTCCCATCTGTTGTTCTTCGAATTTGCCTGTGGTTTGCCATAGCGTGCACATCCTGAATTGCAATTCTTTTGGCTATTCCCGAATAAACTTATTTTGAGGATAAAATAGCTGATGAATTTGCTTTTTAAGTTGACACCGGTATAGCATGTTCAAAAGTTTATTGAATGAGTGAATGTTGTTTGCCACCTGTGTGTTTGGCAAGGTTAAAAGGAGGAAGGATATGGCAGTTGTCACAGGTTGAATTTGAGTTACAGGTTGAATTGTTACAATCCTTAGTACCTGTGACTATGACCTTATTTGGAAGTAAGGTCTTTGCAGATGATCAATTTGGGATGAAGTGATTAGGGTAGGCCAATCCAATATGACTAGTGTCTTTATAAAAACAGGGAATTTGGACACAGAGACAGACCCACACATGGGGAGACTGTCATGTGAAGATTGGAGTTATGCTGCCACAAGCCCAGGAACTAGTCGGAGCAACCTGGAACAGATGCCTCCCTAGCACCTTCAGAGGGAGCATGGCCCTGCCAGCACTTCCATTTCAGACTTCTGGCCTCCAGACCTAGGAGACAATAAATTCCTGCTATGCCGTCACTTGGATTGCCTCATATTCCAGGGCCTACTGTACTTTTAAAAATAGGTTTTCAGGTGCCGGCCTGGTGGTGCAGCAGTTAAGTTCGCACGTTCCACTTCAGCGGCCCAGATCCTGGGTGCTGATATGGCACCCCTTGGCAAGCCATGGTGTGGTAGGCGTCCCACATATAAAGTAGAGGAAGATGGGCATGGATGTTAGCTCAGGGCCAGTCTTCCTGAGCAAAAAGGGAGGAATTGGCAGCAGGTGTTAGCTCAGGGCTGATCTTCCTCAAAAAAAAAAAAAGATAGTTTTTCATGTTTCATTTTAGGCAGTTTGAAAATAAGCAGATTGTGTCTAAAGACAAGAATTATTTTCAAGCATCCAAATGAAACAGTGGGCAGTAGAGAGACAATATTGATTTGTGAAGAGTTGACTTGTGTTTGCCGATTGCTCATTCAATAAAGATGGAATTTTTTAACAGACAGCTGTATGTGGGTGGGTAACTTTCATTTACACATAAAAGTACTAATTTATTATAAAATCATCAGTGCTGTCAACTGTGCATTCCTCAAAGACTGAAGAGTTTTTATGGCAAACTTTAATACTGGTTACTTTAATATATCTTTGATAGTTACTTTAATATATCTTTGCTATGGGGGAGGAGTAACCATTTAATAATAACACCTACTATGTGCCAGGTACTTTGTATAGGTTATTATTAACCCTCTTTATAATCTTTTGAGGTAGCTTATTATTATTTACTAATAACTCATGCCCACATTGCTGATGAAGACACTAAAGCTCAGAAATACAAAAAAAGGAGTAAAACTAGATGAAAAATCAAGACCATTTCTGAATCCAAGCTCTTTCTTTATCATGTACTATCCCTCACTGACACTACCACACCCCGTATTTTTCAGGGTGAGTATTTATGTATCAAAGGAGAAAGAAGGGGTGGGGAGCATTGTTAGGAATCTCTTGGGATATTCTGGTTGGCTGCAACATCATCGTGGTAGAAAGAGTACGGGATTAAGAGAAAGAGACTGAGTTTTCTCTCAGCTCACCGTTAAGTAGTTGATGGTCTTGAACAAGTCGCCCAGGCTTTCTTGGCCTGATTAATTCATCTATAAAATGAGGAGACCGAACTAGATGATTTCTAAGTTTTACATACTGTTTTAAAATTCTAAGATTCTATGAACACAACCCTGTTATGGGCTCAAAAATATCTTTGAAGAGTCCTGTTAAACATTTGTTTATCTGCCAACTATGTTAGGAAAATCAATATCTCTTTGATTTCGTGAGCACCCTTGATAGAAGCGTGTCAGCCTTTAAATTGAAAGCCTGTGTTCTCTCTTGACCCCATCTTGCAGAGGTGATTTTTGGCGTGTTATCAACAGACACATAATGAAGGGGTAAATAGTACAATTAGTTCATTCAGTCTTGACGACGTGAATGTTAGGCTTATAGCCCTTGGCTGAGTGACCCCCAAGACTAGAGTCTTTGGGGAGTGAATTTAAAAGTGTTAAAGGGGGGCTGGCCCGGTGGCCCAGTGGTTAAGTTTGTGCACTCCACTTGAGTGGCCCAGGGTTTTGCCTGTTCGGTTCTTGGGCATGGACCAAGCACCGCTCATCAGGCCATGCTGAGGTGGCATCCCACATGGCAGAGCCAGAAGGACCTACAAGTAGAATTTACAACTCTGTACTGGGGGGGCTTTGGGGAGAAGAAGAAAAGAAAGAAAAAAGATTGGCAACAGATGTTAGCTCAGGGCCAATCAAAAAAGTGTTAAAGGATCATTATTTTTCTAAAAGGTAAATTATGACTCTCATATGAATGTAAAATGAACACATGTCAAAGATTTCACTTAGCTTGTTATTTAATGAGGGAACCACTAAGATGTTGTAATGAAATGAAAGGAGATTCCAAAGAGCAATTACATATATAGGCCATCAAGAATGTTAAAAATTAATTTGCTTAATATATGCAAAACTGAATTCTTCTACGGGGGGGGAGGGGAATCAATTGTACTTTCAGAGGACAAAATCCTTGTGCATGTCCATGGACAAGATTCATTTGCATTGCTATCAATTATCTACAATTTATAGAGTTGTGAAATAGTTCAAAGATAATGACAGGCAGAGAATAACTT